GCTATGCTACTGGCTTTGAAGATGGAGAACAGAGCCATGAGCCAAGGAATGTGGGTGGCCTCTGGAAATGAGAAAAGACAAGGAAATAGATTCTCTCCTAGGGGGTCCAGGAAGGAACACACCCTGCTGACACCTTGACTTTAGCCCAGTGAGACCCGTGTTGGAGTTCTGAACTAGAGAACCATAAGCTAATAAACTTGTATTATTTTAAGCCATGATGTTTGTGGTCCTAAGTTGGCTGCTTAAGCTGGTTTCAGTTTCCATTATTGCAACCAAAGAATCCTAACAGAGGCAGGCCACTTGGGCCCTTTCAGTCTTAGTTGTAGTATAAGATTTTGTTTCTCAGAAGGCTTTCTTTTATCCATGAATTTGCTTTGTAAAACCTTGATAGAGATTATTGTAGAAGATATCAAACATGCAGCAGGTACTTTCAGGATCCTCCATTCTCCAGCAGAGGTGATAAGACATCAACATCAGTAGTAAATAAGGGGCAGGAGGGAAGTCTGGATGTGGCAGAAGTGCAGAGGAAGGTGGACTCTCAAACAAGCTTCATGAAGGGGGCGCCTGGATGGCTCAGTCAGTTAAGTGTCCGACTCTTGGTTTCGGAGTAGGTCATGATCACAGTTCGTGAGTTCGAGCCCTGCCTTGGGCCCTATGCTGACAGTGCAAACCCAGCTTGGGATTTTCTCTTTCTCTCTCAAAATAAACTTTGAAAATATTTTTAAAAATTAATTTTAAAAATAAGTGAAGGAAGTTTCATGAAGGTGGTAACATCTGAGTTGGACCTTGGGAAGGGGAGAGTTGTAGCAGGCTCTGTGAACGAAAGGCATGTTGGGTTTCTCAGTTCGGGTGTGAAAGGAGCCACCACCTGGAGGACATGAAGACTGGTTGTCAAGGTTAGTGGGCATGAAGGGTTGTGGGTGATGAGACAGGACAGGTGAGCCAGCATCAAATTATGGAGGATTGTCAGTGCTGGGGTGTAAGAAGGGTGACTTTACGGACGCTTGGGTGGTGGCTCAGTCTGTTTATTTTTAAGCCTCTAGCTCTTTTATTTTAGGACATAGTCTCATGTTTAGTGAGTCCAAACCCCACAATAGACTCCGTACGTGCGGGGACTGCTTGGGATCCTCTGTCCCCCCTCTCTCTCTGCCCCTTCCCCACTCTTGCTCTCTCAAAAATAAATAAACATTTTTTAAAAAGTCTTTGAGCTTCGTGTAGTATGTGTTTTCTGGGTCTAGGAAAGCCCCAGAGATTAGCACTAACATGGAAGGTGGAGGTGGGCTCAAGACACCCCAGATGTCCCGAGCGCCTTAGGGAACTGACATTATTGCAGAGTCTGTTACTCTTCGGGGCTTCGCATTACACTTGGAAGAAGGCAAACTCCATCCAGCCTCTGCTTGCTGCCCTGCATACTCTCCTGCCTCTTGCGTGGCTGATTGCTTCTCATGTTCCAGTCTCTGCTCCTGTCTCCCCCCTCCTGCCCTGTCAACTCTCAGACCCAACAAACCCGCATGAGCAAGGTGCAAACCCCAGAGGCAAGGAGGCTCTTGACGCTGTGGTGTAGGCTGCGAGCTGGGAGCGCACCTTCCATCTGTCTCGAACCACCCAGCTCTCGGCACACAGGTGGGGGGGGGGGGTGGGGCTGGGGGGCGAACGTGTGATTAGATACATGAGTCCAGGCCCTTCTGGCGTGGGAGCCAAGACTGGCCTCACAGGGCTTGGGTCTGAATAATTCCTCAAGGAGACATGAGCTGGGCATTTCCTCACGCTGTGCCTGAGGGGAGGGTTCCCAGAACAGCAGCGCTGGGCTTGCCCCTCAACAGCAGGCTGCGCTGCCCGGGCCTGCGAGGAGCAAACACATGAGGGTGTGTGGAAGAAAAGTCGAGAAGCGCCATTCTCGAAGAGCAGCCCCCAGGAGCAAGCCTCTGACCTTGCTGGCTGAGAAACGCAGTTTGAAGGGAGAGCAGCCATGTCCAGGGGCCTAGCTGAGCTGACTCGGCTGTCGGTGTCCCCCAGCGGAGCAGGAGACGAGTGTCTTGGGGACAGACAGAAGGCCAGCAGCAGGAGGTGAAGGAGCAGCCCGGACGCACAGGCCAGGCCCCTCTGGCCACGTGGGCCCACATGGGAGGCCTGCCTGTTAGGGCTGGACTGTGCACCCCCCTCAGAAGTTGTCTGTTGAAACCCTAACCCAGAAAGGGGCTGTATTTGGAGATAAGGCCCTTAACCCCCTGGCACCAAAGTCTGTATCGGTCAGGATTCTCTAAGCAACGGGACCGATAGGATGTGCATATCTCTACCTGTATCTCTACCTACAGCTCTCAGTATGTATCTAACGAGAGGGATTTATTACACGGCTAGCTTGGGTGATCGTGGAAGCCGACAAGTCCCAAGATCTGCAGGGCGAGCTGGCAAGCCAGAGACCCCGGAGAGCCCCTGGTGTGGCTCCAGCCCGAAGGCCAACAGACTCAAGACCCAGGGAAAGCCACCGTTTCAGTCAGAGTCTGACTGCAGGAAAAACCCAAGGCCACGTTCAAAGGCGGCGAGTCAGGAGGAACTCCGTCTGACTCAGGGTAGGGTCAGCCTTTCCGCTCTCTGCAGGCTGTCCGGTCAGCACGACACGGCACCGGTGGGACACCCTCAGTCGCCACACCCTGCAGAGGAAACAAGGATGGGCACCTCCGGAAGCAGCATGTCTGTCTCAGTGAAAACACAGGGAACAACGAGAAAAAGGAGTTTGTGTTTATCTCGTCTGCGATATTTATACTCCCTGGTAACAGTTTTTCTGACACACATACGCTCTTCAGGAAGCAGCTGAGAAAGCGAATGACAGTTTCTCTGCGTCCCAACACGTCTTGGACCAAGTCCAGAAAATGAAGCATTTGGAGACGCGGCTCTGGCATCCCGGTGAGGGGCCAGCAGGGCAAGCAGGGAGGAGGCAGGGAGCCCAGGTCAAGGTGAGAGCAGGAGCGGGGAGAGGAGAATTGGTCCTGCAGTGTCTTGAGTGTCCGTGTCCCCTGCAGGGGCAGAGAGAGCTCTCTGGCCGGTCAGTCGGCACTCGGTGCACTGGGACCCCCCAGGGCGCTGCGGTCAGGCTCCCTGGGGCCTGCAGAGATACCCTTGGCCTCTGGGCTCTTACAGCGCAGGGATGGAGATCAGGACCAAATGAACAGTACAGATAATTCCTAGGAGAGGCTTGGAGAACCAGCACTTCCGGTTCTGGCTGATAATCCTGCAGGCGGGTAATGTGGTCCCTGATCCCTGGTATGGGGAGTGCATGTGGCCCTAAGCGAACCCCGCCCCCGCCCCGTCCCTGCCATGCCCCCTGGAGGGGCACTCGAACTCTCTCTCTCATTCTCTCATGTTCTTCATGGTGGTGTCATCACCTCTCCGCCAACTTGGGAGTTCTCCAGGCTAGACGTGAGTCCAGGTTTCTGCCCGGCGCTGGGGTGGTGGCTCCATCACTGGTGGTGTTTCACACGCGGTCGAGGCGCCGTGTTTGGGACGGCCCACAGCAAGCAGGGCTGCAAGGCAGGGGCGGGTGCGATTCTAGCCCAGAGCAGGACTAAAGGTGGGGCGAACTGAGTTGGGGAGCGTTGCAAACTCCGATAAGGGCTTCTTCTGACCTTCCGCCATCTCCTTGTGATGAGTGTAAGACCCTCCCAGCCTCCGGTGGAAATAGTGTCTTGGGATGAGGGCTCAGGGCTGGGGGCCCTTGGGAATCCAGTCCCACAAAGGAAGGGCCCAGCCTCACATGAGTGGGTCCCAACCTTGTATCAGGCTAGGCTGGATCATGGTGCAGGAGGAAGTAACCCCACGTCTCAGTGGCTTACACAACAAAGGTTTATTTCTGGCTCACGCTACTTATCCGCTGCGGGTCGGTGGGCAGAAGTGGGAGGTCCTGCTCACCAGTGTCTGGAATCTGGGCTGGCGGAGGGGCCTCCCGCTGAGGCAAACTCACGCACAGCCAGCTGCACCCAGGCCCTTAAAGCTTCAGCCGGGGGAGCGATCCTCACCATTTCTGCAACTAAAGCAAAGCTTCTGAGCCAGAGACGGACAACAGCAAAGCATTTGCTGAGGTGAGCTGGTGGCGGGAGGAGGGCACGGAAACGGGAAGTGGCCTGCATGTCTCTGCGCCTGCTTGTGTCGGGCTGGAACGGCCTGGGTTCCACCCCTACCCCCAGCTGTAACGCGCTTGTTCACTGGGCCTCGTTACCTGTCACCTCTCTCCCGAGGGTCCCCTGAGCTCCCCAAACTGGGCTGCCTGGCCCTCCCAGGGCTCCCTCAGCTTGCTGTATTCCCTGTACCCCAGCTAGGCTGTGCCCTCGAGATCTGGTGGTACCTCAGGGGCAGAGGGCATGCTGTGGCTCCCGCAAGGAGTGAACGATGGGGCTTGTGAGGGCCCGGCACCCTTGCTCCAGGATGTCACCCTTGCTCCGAGGCTCCTGGCTCTGACTGTGAGGGGACTGCAGGGCTGATGCTGAGCCCTCCGTGGTTGCTTAAGGCTGTCCTGGGCACTGACAACTCAAGCCCAGGGACTGGCCCGGACTGGGTTGGGGAGGCCCCTAGGCCAGCCCAAGGCTCCCTGACGCCAGAACCTGAGCTGCGGAACTCCAGCCCCTCGTCACCTGGGCTCGCCCCATCCCAGGGGGCTACCGTTCCAACCAGCCCCACACTATTTACAGCAGCACCTTCTAGGGCCTTATCCCTAACTAATTCATCAGGCCCAGGGATACGTTCCCAGAAACACCCAGGATGTTCCCATCCTGTGGAATCTCTGTAGACTGGGGCCATTCCCGAGCACTGGGAAATAGGAGTACCTTGGCCACACACTCAGTGTACCTCTTAGTGCCTCAGTTTACCCATATGTGAAACTTGGGCTGCATCCAATTTCCTACATTTCAGACACTCAAGAAACATTATTTTTAAAGCACTGGCTGCTGTTTGGAAGAAAAGGACTCTGTTTTCATGATTTTGTCCTCTAACTCCCCACCGTCCCCCCGCCAACCCCGGAACTTTCTGGAATGTGCTCCACAGGCCAAACTAGAAAGGGAACCCTAGGGTCTGGTGGGTGTCGGCCAGTGAGTGGTCTCAGGCCTGGGAACATTCAAACACAGAGGACGATGTTGCCTAAGCACGTTCAGTTGAAAGGGAAGCAGGTTCAAAGCTGCTAGTCGTTGAGGTGGGGTCCTTGGGCCAGACAGTCAAGGAATGCCTGGACCCGGCCCTGGGGGTGATGGGTCCCCGGGGGGAAGCGACCCTTCAGAAATGAGGGGAGGCCAGTAGAAATGGCCTCCAGATGTGGGCCGCCCTGGGCACCAAGCCCAGCTGCTCGAGCTGCAGCCGTGTGGGCCTATAGGCGTTGAGGTTGCTGTAGGGAGCCGGCGTGTCGTGGGGCCTCGGGGAAAAGTGGGCCGGTGGGCTCAGGGTCCCCCAGAGGCCGTGGTGGGGCTGAAGCCTGGGGGGCAGAGGCAGGTTTGGGGCCAGGGGACTGCCAGGCCCCGACAACGCCGATAGCGTCCGGTTCTGGGGGTTGCTGCCCGTCGAGGGGCTGCTGAAGGGGTTGGAGGCTGTGTGGTCGCTGGCGGAGCAGCTACTGCTGCTGAGGCGGCCGGGCGGGGGGCTGTGGCCCGCTCTGGGCTGGGGGGCTGCCGCCAGCCTGGGAGACTTCGGGCCCATCACGGGCTTGGAGGAGGCATAGAGGTGGCGGAACTCCTCATCAAACAGCTCCACCGCTGGGCCCGTGAACTTGGAGAGGATGTTCCGATGGACGTGGCCGCAGAGCCAGGTGAAGCTGCGGGGGGAGAGGAGAGTGAGGGGTGGGAAGGGGGGTGGGCTGACCGCAGGGCCGTGGGAAGGACCCTGTTCCATCCTGGCAGCACCCGTGCAGGGTGACCTTGAGACCCCTTCATCGATGGCAAGACTGAGGCACAGACACAGGCAAACGTTTGCAGGGGAGCAGTAAAGACACCAGGTTGAATCCCAGGGCTCAGACGCTGGCCGTCCCCGTGGCAGCGCAAAAGGGCTGACAGCTGAGTCGCAGTGTCCCCAGCTCTGTGCTGATGAGTCGGTCCCCTAGCTGTTGAGGGCACCTGTGAAATGTGGGAACGCCTGTCTCCTCCAAACAAATAGGGGTCCCGATCCTTAGAAGGCAGGGGCTGTGTTCTCATGGGAACCTTAAGGGTGTGGCCCCGGATCAAGCTCCTGGACCCGAAGGGGTGGGAGGGGAGGGAAGACCACGTGCTCTTCAGGAGGTGGGAGGTGGAAGAGAACACGAGGCTGTCCTGCAGGAACCAGAATGACACAGCTTGAGCGCACTCCACCCGGACACCCAGGGAGGACACCCTCAAGCGGGGACCTTGGCCCTCCCTCCGGTGACCAGTCAAAATCTGTGGATTACTTTTTGTGATCCCTTGATTGAACCAAATTCTTTTTTATCTCTGATGGAAAAGCCCCCTCATTATCTCTCCCCACCCAACATCCACACCCCCTGGTGACAGCACAGAAGACCCCCCAAAAGGGTCAGGTTAGAGACTTCTGGGTCCCTAACAATGGGAGCCCAGGTGTGGGGAACAAAGGTGGCAGGATGGTCACAGGGAGACACGGTCACTTGGGGGACAGGAGTGACTCCCACCAGTGGACTCAGCAACCCCACCCACCCCCACCGCCTGCCACCACCAGCCCAGCCTGCAAGAGTCCGGGCCTGGTGAGGCAGGGAGTGGCGAGCGGGCTGGGGCAATCCTGGGGAGAACAATGAGGCTTTGTTTAAACCTCCTCTCCCACCCAGGAGGAGCCTCCCACACACCCCAGAGAGGTGAGCAGCAGATGCTTAGCTAGGGCCAGCCAGGTGACAGGGAATGCGGCACATATGGGGACAGGGGACCCGTGGCTACCCTCAGAAATCAATCACCCTGTGTAGTTCAGAATCAGACTAGATTAGGCCAAGCTACTGCATGCTTTATGCAACAAAACAGGCGCAAAGGTGCCCTAGCGGCTCTTCAGGCCACTAGGCCCCTGCACCCCACACTCAGGTCCCTTGTGTGTCCCCGTAGCCCCTGCGTGCCTACACACTGTGCTGGGGTCCCCCTCCTGCACACCCCACACGGCCATTCATCCTGTGCTCTAGCTTTTACTCTTTCTCTGTATCACCACCCACGTAAGAAATACACTTCATTTCTACTGCTTTTTGGCCCTTCGCACATGGAAATGACTTTCACAACCTTTGGCTTGAGAGCAACTCTCATGACTGCTCTATTCTTGGCCCATTTAAATTTATGTAGCTATTTACTTGGTTACTTTAAATAATGTAATAAGTACCGATGAACCCATCACCTAAAATAAAAAAATAGCATCTTGACAACAACCAGCATCTAATCATATGGGTCCCTCCCAGCCACCCATTTTCCAGGTCTGCCCAAATGAGGGAATCATCACCCCAAATCCTGTGGCATAGTTCCTATACTTGCCTTCTCTATTAAAAAAAAGTTTTATGTATTCTAGAAAGAAAATATTTTAGTTGCTTTTAATGTATACATAATATTTTGGGATTTTTTTCACTTAATATTTTACACTTGATCTTAGCCAAAGGCTGAGAAGCGATTTCACTTAATATTTTAAATAATTTTAAAATTGCTAAGATTTAGCCATGTTATCTCTTGTTACAGTACTTCATTCTTTTTTTATTTTTTTAACTTTTTTATAGTTGATTTATTTTGAGAGAGAGAGTAAGCTGGGTAGGGGCAGAAAGAGAGAGAGAATCCCAAGCAGGTTCCACACTGTCAGTGTGAAGCCTTATGCGGGGGCTCTAACTCAGTGAGTACAAGATCATGACCTGAATTGCAGTCAGACACTCAACCAACTGAGCCACCCAGGTGACCCTCCACTACTTCATTCATTTTTGATTGCTGTATAATATTCCACTCGTGGCTAGATAATGGTCTATTTCTCCATCCTCCCATTGACAGGCATTTGGATTGCTTCCACTATATTTCTGTTGTGACCAGTTCTCTGATGAACACTCTTACACATGTCTTTTACTGTACCATGGACTCGTTCTCTTGGAAATACACCTAGGAGTGGAATTGCTGGATTATAAACCAGGTGAATAGTCAGCTTTAGGAGAAAACTCCAAACTCTTTTGAAAGTCACTGTATAGATTTACAATCCCATCAGCAATGTGGAAAAGATGCTGTACATTCAGCATTTGGTATTATCTTTTTTGCTGGCTGAAAAGGAATAAAATGACAACTTGTTCTAGCCTTGATTTGCACTTTCCTGGTCACTGATGATGTGGACACCTCATCGTGTTTCACACATGTTTGCTCCTGGCTGAAACGCCCAATCATGCCCCTTGCCCGCTCTTCCTTGTCCTGCTTTGCTCTTATGATTCATAGGAATTCTTTGTGGTTCTTGACACTGATCTTCGCAGGGCATCACGAAAACCTGCTCTCACGCTGTAATCTGACTTTTCTCTTTTTTCCAGATATCGTTCAATGAACCAAAGTTCTTGACTGTAATACAGTTTGATTTAGCGATCTTTTATTGTCAAGGCTCAGTCGGTTGAGCGTCCAACTGCAGCTCAGGTCATGATTCACAGTTTGTGGGTATGAGTCCTGCACTGGACTCTGTGTTGACGGCTCAGAGCCTGGAGCCTGCTTCGGCATCTGTGTCTCCCTCCCTCTCTCTCTCTCTCTCTCTCTCTCTCTGTCTTTCCCCTGCTGCTCATGCTCTGTCTCTCTCTCTCAAAAATGAATAAATATTAAAAAAAATTTTTAATAAAAAGACACTTAATCCTTATTCTAAATCCCAAGGTCTAAAAGATATTCATCTATTCTTTTCTACTAAGAGTTTTAAAGTCTGTTTTTGACATATAAGTCCTTTTAATCTATTGGAGGGTGATTTTTTTTTTGTATATGTGTGAAATGGAATCCAATTTTCTATTTGGAGATTTTTTTCCCCCGTTTCTCCTTTCCCCACTGCTCTGACATGCCCCATCCTGTGCGGTCTCTCTCTGGGCCTCCTGCTCTGTCTGTTCACTCGTCAGCCTGCAGCTCCAGCACCACACTGTCTGCATCCTGCAGCTCCACGGCCGGTCCTGATCTCTGGCGGGGCAAGTCCTCCCTGCCTGTCCCTCCTCACACTTAATCTCAGCTAATCTTGGAGAAATACATTTTACGTCATGACCTACTCGCATATATACACACATACATATGCCCACGCAACAGTTTCCAGAACATTCCTTACCTCAGTCCACTCTTACTCTATTTATTCTATCCTATTTCATTATTAAAAAAAAAAAATTCCAGGCATCCTCCACTGAATTGACTTCATATCCTGCTAATAGAGGATGATGCACACAGTTTGAAAAACTTTGTTCCTCTAGCTACACTGAATGGCCAGGACCTAACCATGGACTTTCATTCATTCACTCACTCATTCATTCATTCATTCATTTTTTTATTCAACAGATATTTACAGTCATATATGAAGTTCACGTACTGGATTAACTGTACTTCATGCCAGGAATGCAATAGAGAAGAAAACAGACCTAATCCAGGTTCTGTCATCATGTTTACCATCTTGTCTAAACAAGTCCCCAGAGAAGCTCTCTAGGGGCTGATCTGGAAGCTATGAGATAAGGAATTATCAGAATAAAGACAGTGAGAGAGACCTCTCCAGCAGAGTGAATAATCAGCAAGCACAAAGGCCCTGGGGCCTGAAAGAGCATGAAAGACATGGAGGAACATAGTGTGGCTACAGCACAGTGGAGGGGAAGGAAAATCCTGCTGAGACAAAGGCCATGGTAAGAATGATTTTTTTTTTTCCATTTCTAGGAGCACTGATAAGCCTGGAAGGATTTTTAAAAAATTTTTTAAATATTTATTTTTGAGAGAGAGCGTGAGTGGGGCAGGAGCAGAGAGAGAATCTGAAGCAGGCTCCAGGCCCTGAGCTGTCAGCACAGAGCCCGACGCGGGCTTGAACTCACGAACCGTGAGTCTGTGACCTGAGTTGAAGTCAGAAACTTAACCTACTGAGCCACCCAGGTGCCCCTAGGTGGAAAGATTTTAAGGATGCATGTGATTTGATCTGGTTTGACTTTAAAAATCTTTGTGTTCCTGGTGGAGAAAGCCCAGAGGTGGAAAGGTGGGTCCGGGCAGGAAAGGAATCAGGGCCAGTTAGGGTCTCATGCTGCACCCACCAAGGCCCAGGCCTAAAGGCACCCACCCTGGGCCAGCAGAAGGGGGAGCTTCCTCCTGGCTGGCCCCGGAGCACCTTCACCTTTCCAGCTCATGCTGATCTTGGAGCACACACCACACCGCTCTGTGGCCGTTTATCCATATTTTCTGAGAGAAGAGCTCTGTGTGCCCAGACCCGGCCCAGCGCCTGGGCTGGGGGAAGACTTTCTACAGGAGCTTACATGTTGAAATACATACAAGCCCCCCAAACCCCACCCCCACCCCTCAGCTGAAGATGTGGACAGAGCTCTTCAGTTTGAACTGTGTGCACCCAGGGCCAAAACATCTGAAGTCCAGGGATAGCCGGATTGAAAGAATGAAATGGAGGCTTGTGTTGTAACTGGAGACAGCTCAGAGTCCCGAGGAAAAGGATCCTCTGAAAGGCTGGCAAACAGGTCCCCCTTGAGTGCTGAGTGCAAAACAAGTGATAGCCGTCGCCCTGCGCTCTCTCCAGGAATTGGGTTCTTCATTCTCAGGAGCGACCCTGCGTGGCTTCAAGCCCGCCGCCACCCTCCTCCTGGCCCCTCCCGCGTGTGGAGGACAAGCCCAGTAGGCACCGGAGAGCCGGAGATCCTAGTCAAGGAAGCTGGCGACTCTGGGCCAATCACCCACACTCTCTGTGCCTCAGTTCCCCCATCTGTCAATTGGAGGAATAATAACTCCTTCAAAGGCTTGTCAGTTCTTACCAAAGGTCAGACCACACCTGACAGAGGGTCTGGCACAAAGCTCAAGGTTAGCCTTGCTCCCTTCCGCCCCTACCAAGGGCAAGGGCCACCCCTGCGTGCTGAGCTCTGTAAGAGCAGATACAAATGAAAACAGAGAGGCTTAATTCTCCCCATTTAAAATAAGAGGAAAGTCTCTTCCTCCTCTTCGTTTTCTCTTTCACAGTTTCTTTCTCTGTCCCTGAAGTCAGCAGAGGAATCCGAGTGAAGAGGCCTTGCTACATTTCCCCAGTAACTACCTTTAGCTCAACCTTCTGTCCTACCATGTTTTCCACGCCTTTCCAGAACTTTCTACCCTTCATCAAACCTCATCTAAAAAAATGCTGAGGCTCAACCATTTCTCAGGATCATTTCTTTATGGAGGCTCCAGGCCATATAACACTTACAAACAAATCCACACGCTTTTCTCTTGTTAACCTATCTTGTTCAATTTACAGGCCCCATGCAAAGAACCTAGAAGGGTAATAGGAAAACGGAGTTTCTTCTCCCCACATAGTGGGTACGGGTTTTTTCTGGAGGGGACAAAAGTATTTCGGAACTAGACAATGGTAATGGTTGCACACACCATGAATGTACTAAACGCCACTGAATTACACATTTAAAATGGCTAATTTTATGATACGTGAGTTTCCCTGTAATAACAAAAAAAAAAAAAAGAGAGAGAGAGAGAGAGACCTCCTCAGCTATGGTGGGCCCCTGCCTCCAGACTTGGCTCCTTGGGTTGAGGGAAGCTTCCCAAATAGAGATCTGACCCTACCCATCCAGGTGGTGAACTAGGTCTAATGGCAGCTTGGTCAAGGTCAGGGGTCAAGGTGAGAGGCCTCAAGTCCTGATGTGGGGCGTGAGGCCAAGCTCCCAGCCAGAGCTTTATGGCTTGATGCCCAGTGGCCTTCGTCACTCCCCAGGGAAAGAACAAAAGCTGAGAAGGTGGCTTTGGCCACGTGGGGAGGGTGGCCCAGCCCCACCTCAGCCTCTTACGAACAACCAAGTGCTGGATACGGGGTCCAAGGATCAGCGAGTGGGCTTCCTTTTGCACAGGGGCCCTGATGAAGCAAAACACGGTGGGGAGAAGCTGTGGGTGGAGACACACTTGGGGCTCAGTGACCCCCGGATGCTGGAGGTGCCCCTGAGGACTGCCTCGCCTCAGAGCCCTTCCTGGCATAGGGGCCATGAAACAACCACATCCCCCTGTGGACGGACCACACTGCATCCAGCTCCGGCACTGCACTGCTGAGGAAAACAAGGCTCAGAAAAGTTGGAGAGAGAGGCCCAGAGGAGAGCAAAAGGGAACGTTAGCCCACGCCAGCCACCTCTTCCCAGGCTCCATCGCTCTTCCATCACTGTCTCTCTGTACTGGTTTTTTTTTTTTTTTTTAAAGTAATTTCTATACCTAACATGGGCCTTAAACTCACAACTCCAAGATCAAGAGGCACATACTCTACTGACTGAGCCAGCCAGTTGCCAGGGATCTCCTTGGTGTGGATGGGAGCTCTAGAAGGGCACCCAGCCCCGAAGCAGGCCTGGTATGTACCCAGGAGGTCTCTACATAGCTGTCCAATGAAGGAAGGAACAGAGAGGCATGGTGATTTGCCCAAAGTCACCCAGCCAGGAAGCTACAAAGCTGGGAATTGAACCTCTGTCATCTGACTTCCAGTCTGGGCTGCTGCTACTTCCTGTCCCTAGCACCAGTCTTAGGTCCCATGGAATTTGGACACACTTCTGAAAATAAAATAGGACACACACACATACACACAGCCCAAAACAAATAGCATAGTTTTACAATCACGTCTGAGAGAGCAGAGAAGGGAAAAAAGATTCTATGTCCTTTTGCAGTCTGAAGGGAAATCGGAAGTGCCTCTCTACCCTGAAGCTCTGCCAGAAGAGTCCAGATTTACCCCTTCTGCCCAGACTGGTCCTGCCTCCCGCCTCACGTATATGATGAAATCCCAGCCCCGCCGGGCCCAGGACTGGCAGGGGTGTGTGGGCCTGAGTGGCCAGGGCTGCTGTGCACCATGCCCAGCCTGAGCCTCCTCCCAGCCTTCGACAGGTGAACCCCAGCGCTCACCTGTATGATCCAGACAGCACGTATCTCCAGTCCGAGATGATAAACTTCTCCTGGATCTGGCCGGCGAACTTCCGGCCTGATTTGGCACAGTACACCTCTCCTTCCACACTGCGGATGGAAATGTTCTGTTGGACGGAGAGTCAAGGTGTCACTCACTATGTATGTATGATGCACGTTTACATAGGAAAACGTCTGGAAGGATGCTCACCAAGACATAAACAGGGGTTATCTCTAATTGGTAGGATCAGAAGCCATTTTTATTTTTCCCTTGGCTGAGTTTTCTAAATTCTTTTCATTGTCCTGACATTATGTGAGTAATGGCAAAGGGAAAAAAAAGGAAAGGGGAGATGGTAGAATTCAAACAAAGCAGAAAATAGAAGAAAGATGAGGGCCTAATGCCCATGGAGCCCTTAATCTAGGTTCCCGTGGACCCCAGGGGCCTGGCAAGCCCCGCCTTGCCTTGGAAGTGACGAGAGTCCCTGACCCCAAGCTGGTCAGGGGGAGGTGCAGCCAGAAGGGGTGGCTTTGTAGAGACCTCAGTGGGCCCTAGATTGTCCTAAGGAAAGGAATGTCCACCACGCAAATCAAGGCCCTGCTTGTCCCTTTCTCCTCCAGGAACACGGGCCACCCCAGCCGTCAGCCAGAACCCTCGGGAGGCAGGAGAAATGAAAAGACAGGCAAAGCACTGGGCTTTCTGAGGAAGGTAGGATACTGCTGGCGTCCCAAGAATGTCCTTGGTGGCTGCGCAGGCCCTGGGAAGGGGATGCCTAATGCCTCCAACAGTGACCCCCAGCCTCTCCATAAGCTCTAACATGTAGACAGGAAGGTCATATCCCACCATCCCTTGGAGGTCAGAGGACTGTTAGGTGTAGCTGACGTGGGCCATGGAGGCAAGGCCTGCGCTGACTCTGGACCTGTTTTGGTGACCTCATGTCGAGGAGGTGTGATCCAGGTAGCGTCAACCAGACGGCAGTAATCAGAGGACCCGGAGGCCTGCACCCCAGGCAGTGAGGAGAGAAAGGGAAGGGGGAAGGGAGGAGGGCAGGGTCTCCTGGAGGCTGACCTTGCCTGAGCTAGAGGGGAGTTGCAAGGGAACCACCCAGCCGCTGTTCAGCTGGGCCTGCTCATAGAAACTGGGTGGTTTTACATTTGACCTTGAGTTAGCTGCCCTAAGTGTGACATGACTAAACGAACTCTCATCTCTGGGTTTCTTTCTGGCTGCCAGAAGAAGAAGTGGGGGGTTGGGTTCAGTCCAAGAGGATCAGCTTCATGGTGGAGCCGGGGAGTCCTAGACATGCACACGCAGGCCTGGATGTTGTTGCCCTGGCCTGTGACATGTGGCCACTGGGTCTCCTTGGCCAAGAGGAGAAAAGGCATCTGCAGAGATCGCTGCCCATGGGAATCCATGGGCTCCTGGCAGTTCCAGCCCCCATGTGTCTGTGGGAGGCCAAAGGGCTGTATGTAGGAGTGATGGAAATCTGTTCACGGTCAAGTGCTGTGGTGTCCTCCTGTTCACTCTCTCCATGTCGCTGCCATCTTGGAGGCCACATATTCCTTATGGTGTAGCTACAAGATGGGGGGAGGGGTCTGTGCTACACTGGACTTTGAGCAAGAAATAAACCTTTATGACGTTAAGCCACTGAGATGGGGAGGGGTGGGAATCTGTTAGTGTGGCATAAGCTATACTATCCTTTAAAATTTTTTTTAATGTTTATCTGTATGTGAGAGAGAGGTGGGGGAGAGGCAGAGAGCGATGGAGACAGAGTCTGAAGCAGGCTGAGCTGTCAGCACAGAGTCTGATGCGTGGCTGGAACCCACGACCTGGGAGATCATGACCTGAGCCAAAGTCATGCACTTACCCGACTGAGCCACCCAAGCGCCCCAGCTATACTACCCTAATATAAAATACCTTTAGGACTCTCACTGGGAGCCCCTACCTTGAGGTGGCTGTCAGAGATCTGGACTTTGTCACACATCTCTTGGAAGAGCTTCACACCTCCCTGGTCCAGCAGCACACAGACAAACACCCCGCGCTTGTTAGCAGCCTCTAGAATGTCACAGAAGATCTCCACATCCGTGAACACATCCATCAGGATGGCCAGGACCTGGGGCAGGGGGTAAGGGGTGGAAACAAAAAGAGTCAGGGGCTAACTGGTTGCAGCCAAGCTTCCTAAATCCCAGTGGGGCTAAGAGAACCCTTCCCCCTTCTGCGGGACTGGAGGAAAAAGGATGGGGCGGGGGGCTCTGCCAGGGCAGCATTCAAGGGAAAGAGCCGTTCTGGAGGCCTCTGTGCTGACTCCATGTCTCCAGCCCAGCCACACACCTGGTCCACTGTAGGTGCAGCACGCACAGGAGGAAGGAGAGAAAAGTAGAGACGGAGCGCAAGGAGGGGCAGAGAAGAACAAGAGGAGGTGGCCAGGCAGGTTTAGGGCAGCGGGACAGATTTAATGACACGGCTGCCCAGACCTGTGGAGCTCGAAGGCGCCCTATGACCCCTGGCTTTCAAATGTTGCTAAGCCACACAATCCTCGAGTCACACAAAATCGCTGTAGAGACCCTACATAGATAGACTAGGCTGAGCTGCCCCAGTGGTATGGAGAAGGGAGTGCTGCTCAGCCAGCAGTTACTGCCTCCTCTATCATAATGGAATCCTGGGGAGGAGGGGGCTCGAGAAATCCAGCAAAGCGGGGGCCACGTGTGTGTGCCTGCCCGGCCAAGCAACCATTCCTCCAGCCAGCAGGACCCACTCTTCATTCATTTAAGGAATCCCCTCTCCTCCATAGGCAATGTGTGTGGGTGGGGCCACTGCCTTGCGCGGGATTGGGCACAGTGAGGATACGTCACCAAGACCCGACCAATGAGAGCACGGCATCCCCTGCTGGCCGCAGTGATTGGTCCGGGGCTGCTCACATGGTCTAAGTTATTCTAATAAGAGCCAGTTGAGAACTTCAGCAGGGCCTGCGGGGGACGAGGCGTTCGTTATCTACCGGGTTGCTCGGCTAACCGAGTCACAGCTACCGCTGCACGCGGCCAGCTCGCCACTGCGCGGGGACAGCCTGACTGAAAATGAAGCCAGGCCTACCCTTCACTTTTCCACCGTAGATGTCAGTATATGTTCCTCTTCTTAGACTTGTTTGAAGATGTTTTCCACGATATTGTGATTTATGAAAAGAAATGTATATTTGCTCTCGGTCCCTATTTCTGGCATCAGGCTCTAAAACACTTGGAATTTCCTGAGTGGTGTGTGAGCTGATGGAGTTAGAGGCCCTTTGTTATGTTAATGAGGTGACTTTTGGAGGGGGGCTGGTTGCCAGGGGAACCAACTAAGTGATTAGAGGGTTGGAATTTTCTGTCCCTCCCACCCTCCTCTTTCCAGAGAAAGAGAGAGGTGCTGGAGGTTGAATCAACCCCCCCCCCCCCCCCCCCCCCAGCCCAGCCAAAGATGTAATCAATCATGCCTGTATAATGAAGCCCGCATTAACACCTCAAAAGGGGTTAGAGAGCTTCTGGGTTGATTTGGGCAGAGCAGAGTGTGCTTGGAGAAGGCATGGAAGTTATATGCTCTTCCCCATACCTTGCCCTATATCTTCCATCTGACCGTTCCTGAGTTCTAGCCCTTATAATAAACTGGTAATCTAGAAAGTAAAAGGTTTCTGTGTTTTGAGCCACTCTGGCCTGCAGATCAAATCCAAGGAGGGGGTTGTTGCAAGTGTCCAGTCAGAGCTGATTGGTCTGAAGCACAGACGACAGCCTTGGCTCAGGACTGGTGTGTGTTGGATTGTAGGACCCCCAGCTGGTGTCAGAGAAATACTGGGTGGCAGGGGACTTCCACACAGTGGGACTGGAGCAGAGTTAGATGTCTGTCACCCCATCAAAAGTCTGTCCCAATACCCAAATCATGGCATATTGACAAGTGGTTCATGAGGCAACCATTAAAAATGATAATTAGAATGGTTACATAAAAAACTGTAAGACAGGGTGAAATGTGGAGGTAAAACTTGCTGTGTAATCCATGCCTAACATGTGTATTAACAAGTAATGAATTCAGTTAAAAAAGAAAAACAGAGCACAAAATGATAGTATGCCCAGTAGGACTGCCAGTGAGGGAAAGTACTGTGTAGACATAGAGGCAAGCACAAAGCCAAAACTGGCAGTCAGGTTTGGACTGGGTACTAGGGCAGTTTTCAGCATTACCTATAATAATGTTCCACCATTTACCTAATAATATATATGATATATTATATATTAATGTATAATAATGTATACTAGAGATGCTATATGTAGCATATATATAGTAGACTCTAGATATATAGAGTATAGTCTGTATCTCTCTTTAGTGTATATAGAGATAAAGAGATACGTTGGCCAACAACATCTGGGAAGTAGCAAGGACAAGTTCACTGAAACAGGTGAAGAAGATGTCTATTACCCACTTGGAGCTGACTTCCTGCTCAGATGATGTGGGTCTCTGAACAGGGGAAGGAACTGCCCAGGTTAGAAGTCAGGAAAGATGCCCTAAAAGGGAATCCATGCTCCTTTAGAACCATGGATGGCCCCATTACCACAAGATTGTCTGTACACATTTCAACTTCTGGTGACAAGGAAAACTGAGACTGTCTCTGCTGAAAGATAAGTGCCTCCTCCTTGAGGGAGATATTGACAAAAGGGACAGTTCTCTCTCCTCAGGATGTGAGTAAATCCTCCCGTTGTGTTCCAATGAGTCCTTATTGCCCAGAGGGTTGGTGACAGATTGAACAGAGAAGGGGGCAGGTTTAAAGGGATGCTTGAAAACAGAGGCTCACAAGGTCTAGGCTTATCCTGTTGCCTTTCCCAGAGGGATTGATTCAAGATCAACAACTTGAGTCCTCTGTGTGGACATGCTACCTTACAGGGCGTAGTGGGATGAATGATGACCTCCTGAAAGATGTGTCCACATCCTAACCACCAGAACCTATGGACATGACCTCACTTGGAAGAAGTCTTCATAGGTGCAGTTAAGACTCTCAAGACTAGATCATCCTGGATTATCTGGTGGGCCCTAAATCCAATGGCATTTGTCCTTATAAAAGACACCCAGAGGAAAGCCAGGGAGAAGAGGAGGCGTCCAGGTGAAGACGGAGACAGAGGCTGGAGTGGAGTGGCCACAAGCTGAGGAGTGCCTGCAGCTACCAGAAGCTGGGAGAGGAAGGCAGGACCCTCCCCTAGAGACTTCAGAGGAAGTAGGGCCCAAGTGACATCTTCGTCTATTTATTTATTTATTAATGTGTATTTTTAAATGTTTATTCTGAGAGAGAGGGAGCGTGAGAGTGGGGAGGGGGCAGAGAGAGAGAGAGAAGACAGAGAATCCCAAGCAGACTCTGTGCTGCCCTACCTCGTGACCTGGAGATATGACCTGAGGCACAATCGAAGAGTCAGATGCTTAATGGACTGAACCACCCAGGTGCGCCTGACAGCTCCGGTCCTCCTGGAGAGGAGTTGAATGCTTTGGACATGGCCATTACCCTCTCTGGGCCTCAGTTTCTTTACCGAGAAAGCACCACTCAACAATAGAGTATCAGCTATCATTCCAGGTGCATCTAACCCTAAGCCCAGATAAGAGAAATGAGACCACGTGCAGAAAGTAAACGTTTTTATTCTAGTTTATAGTTAAAATATGACTATGATTTTTATATGCATTATGAGCAAGTATGAATAATGTTAGAATAACACCATGCAAAAACGTGTTAGTCCAGATTATGGAAGAGGATTAAAATCAGTGCCTATACCTCTACAGGCATAAAAAATAAATAAAGTAGTCCAATCAGCAAGCCCGGCACGTTGGGGTGCAGTTGGCTGAGAAGAAGGAAAGACTTTCACGACACGTTGTAAGGGAGGAAGCGCAGTGTGGCAGGCCAGCTCTGGGTATGGGAGCCACCGTGAGACCAAGGTGCCCCACCAGGGTGATGCGAGTCTGCTGGGGCAATACCCATATGCAAGGGTCATCCTGTGGGGGCCTCAAATCCTAGCTGAGAACCTCCCAGAACCTGCCAGACACATATGAGCTCTTCCTGGGCTGGAAATCCTGCTGCTTCCGGAAGGGCAGGGTGTAGACCTAGAAATGGGATTTGGGTCCTGGCGAGGCCCAGTCATGTTGGGGACAGTTGTTGGGAACACTTATCACCCCACCCCCCACTTCATGCTTCTATTTCTATTCTTCCCTCTTTCTCTTCTATGTGCCGATGCGCCTTCTTTTTCCAAAAACAACCAGAGCCACACACAGTGAGCAGAGGGGCATTCCTCTACGATTTTGCAAATCTCTGCGGTATCGGGCTTAATGGGAGACAGCTGGCTTCTCCTATCTGCTTCTGCAGCAATCTGTGGTGCTATGGTGTGTGGGTGGAAGCAGATGAAGATAATCTGGCCTCACACAGATAAGTGGTTAGAGAGGACATGACCTCCCGGGCCCACTGAAAGGATCTTGGAACCCTCAGGGATTCTGACCACACTTGGAGGATGTATTAGTCACGGTTTTTCCAGGGCGCCTGGGTGACTCAGCTGGTTAAGCGTCCGACCTCGGCTCAGGTCGTGATCTCAAGGGTGGCTCAGTCAGTTAAGTGTCTGACTTCAGCTCTTGTGATCTCGTGGGTGGCTCAGCTGCTTAACTGTCCAACTTTGGCTAAGGTCTTTTTTTTTTTTTTAATGTTTTTAATGTTTTATTTCTGAGAGAGAGAGAGAGAGAGAGAGAGAGAGAGGCAGCATGAGCAGGGGAGGGTCAGAGAGAGAGGGAGACACAGAATCGGAAGCAGGCTCCAGGCTAGCTGTCAGCACAAAGCCCGGCACAGGGCTCGAACCCACAAACCGTGAGATCACGACCTGAGCTGAAGTCGGACGCTTAGCCGACTGAGCCACCCAGGCGACCCGGCTAAGGTCTTGATGTCAGGGTGCATGAGTTCAAACCCCACATAGGGCTCTCTGCTGTCAACAAGGAGCTTGCATTAGATCCTGTCCTCTCTCTCTGCCCTTTCCCTGTTCGTGCTCTCTCTCTCTCAAAAATAAACATTTATTCTTAAATCATGCTTTTTCCATAGTTTATGATGCTTTGCCTTCCAGGGCCAGTGGATTCCTGGAGATTAGCAAACACCTAGGAGCTTGCCTTTGACACACAGACCAAGCAACCCCAACCACCTGCTTTATCACAGTCCCCCTGCCTTATGTGACTCCAGGGCCGGGTCCTGGACAGCAAGGGACCGCCTGTAGCCCGGAGCCCGCTGAGACGGCGCACGGCTACCTGGCCCCCCCCGCCCTTTCCTGCACAAGCACAGTAGGGCCTGTGCCCGTGCGTTACTCTGGCACCGTCTGCCTCCCGGCCGGCCCCGGCACTCCCTGTGTGGCCCTGCGCGGCATGCTGTGCGTCCTGCTTCTAGGGACCGTGAGTACAAACTTCCCTATTCGTGCCAGTCATTTCCGTGCCTACGTGTCTTCCCACCCGCTGGACACCCAACCGGCTTGCCCTTAACGGCCTTTGCCCGGAATCCCTTTCCCTTCCTTCTCTGCCTGACACCTCCTTACTCAGCCTCTGAGGACTCAACTCAGAGGCCACCTCTTCCAGGAAGCCTACCTTAGTCACCCTCCCCGCCCCTCCCAGGCGCAGAGGGCTGCTCCCACCAATGTCTTCTCCCCTAGTGGGCAGGGGTAGGCAGGGCCTGGCTGTGAATGAGGAGTAAAGGAATGTGAGCATGGAGGGAAAGAGGGAGAGTTCCTGTGCCCTGGTGCAAACTGGTCTGGAAAACTGGAGCGGGCTGGCTCTGTCTGTCCTCTCCCGAGGCTGAAGCCAGGGAGGAGAATGCAACCCGACCACCTCCCGCTGTGAGCAGGGAGGCAGGGGGCACAGCTGGCCTCCATGGACAGCCTGTGACTGGGTTCCAGGCCCCTGGGCTCTCTGTGGGGCAGGACAGCCCTGAGCCTCTGTGTGTGTGTGTGTTTGTGTGTGTGTATGTAGAGTATCGCAAACTCTGCCTGCAGGAGGCCATGAGCGTGTCCTGGAACACGAGGGTGGTGGGGACGTGGCAAAGGGGACTACCCAAAGAGGTGGCTGCCACTTAGCACCACAGAGCCAGCTGTTCCCATGAGCTAAGTGGGGCTGGAAAGTCTTCTAGGTGACATCTTCAGATGGTTAAATGTCATCTTAAATTCATAACATGCCCTAATGGTGAAACAAAGGACATGAGGGGCCTCAGGGCCACAGAGGGAGGGAGGCCTTGCTGGGTGGGGAGTGGGGGGGGGAGACGATTGCTTCACACCCCTCACCTGGCTTCCTTCCAGGGAGCCTCAGTCCCCGGAGCTGTGGTTGACAGTCTCCCCAATACCACTGGTCCCCGCACCACGGAGGGCACCAAACTTCACACACAGAGAGACCAGAGCTAGCACACTTAGGAGCAGGCCCTGGGATCTAGAAGAGACCTTAGTCCAGTAATCTGAAGCCTGGGGAGGTCAAGAGACTTGCCCCGGGTCACACAGCCAGCCCCAGGCTGTGCGGGAGCTCCTGGCTGCCTGCCTGGGCCCATCTGTCAGTTTCCAAAGCTGACATGTCACCGAAACATGAAATACTGCTCAAATACTGCTCAGAGGCAGCACTGCAACTTGAAAAGCTGACGCTCCACCCCCTTTGTAACCTTACTTAACTTTCCAGAACTCCACCCCTTCCCACCCCCATCCACTCACAGCTGCTCCACCTTAAGCGGGGCTTTTTCCGGAGCCTTCAGATTTTTTTTTAATTATTATTTATTTTTTAATAGTTTATTGTCATGTTGGTTTGCATACAACACCCAGTGCTCATCCCCATGAGTGCCCTCCTCCATGCCCATCTCCCCCTTCCCCTCTCCCCCATACCCACGAGTCCTCAGTTTGTTCTCAGCATTCAAGAGTCTCTCATGGTTTGCCTCCCTCCCTCTTCCCCCGTTTCCCCCTTCTTCTCCCCCACGGTCCTCCATTAAGTTCCTCCTAATTCTCCTATACGGAGCCTTCAGATTTCACTAAGTACTGAACGTCAGAGGGGATTCAGTCATGAGGCTGGGGGATACTAACAGAAAATGAGCTTAAATATCAGCTTGTTCTTTTTTGAGTCTATCCTCGCCCCTCTACAGCCTCAGCGGGGAGGACGGGCATCCAGAGCCCCTTTCAGAATAGTCATTTGACACACCTGGGGTAGAAGGAGCTAGTACCCATTCTCCGCTGCAGCAGGTAGCCGGTGTGGCCCGCAGTTCCAGGGCGTGGGGGGAACTGACCAAATGCCGGTCACCATGCCTGAAATTCTATCAGCCAAGCTCTGGGCTTGAAACATTTGTTCTTCTTCTAAGGCCACGTGTTAAAATGTAAATACTCTGGGGAGAGAGAAGCTTTCTCTCTGCCTATTCTGTCCCCTGTCTGACCACCAGCTGGATTCAGGAGCTGTACGGGCATCTGTGGGCAGGCAGGTCTAAGCCGGGTCTTAGAGGACAAGGCACAAGTGTGTGCCTCAGTGAACGGGCCCCTTCATTTGGAAGCACAGGGGAGGCGCCTGGCTCAGCCGGAGGAGTTCAGGAGAGCCTTCCTGAGAAAGGGACTTGGGTGCTGGGTCCTGAGAAAGGAGTAGCATCCGGTGGATGAAAATCAGGGAAGGTGAGGGGATCCCAGATAGAGGGAACAGCACATGCAAAGCCCAGAAGACAGAGCACCGTGGGCTGGAGAATATGCAGGCCCCTCAGTATTGAGCAGCAGGAGCTGGGGGAAGAGCTGGAGAGGGCTGTGAGCCGTAAGGAGCCTACTCTTCTCACTGTGGGCAATTGGGAGCCACGGAGGGCTCTAAGCAGGGAAGGGACCAAGTTAGATTTGAAGTATAGAAAAAGTGCTCTACTGCAACGTGGCGACTCAGGGGGTGTGGGGGCGGGGGTCAAGATGGAAGAGGAGGAGTAGGCAGGAATCTATCGCGAGAGTTCCAGTGATGGAACTGGCCTGGACCCAGACTGTGACAGGTGGGATCAGAAAGTCCATGATCCAGGGCAAGACAGAGAACAACATCCCTGACTCCATCCTAAGCCGCGGTCTTCTGAACTCCATCCCTTAAAGCAGGAGACACCCCCTCTGCTCTTCTACCGGAACCCACCCCATGGCCAAGGAGCCGCAGTCCCCACCCCCGGTACCTGGCTGGTCCGGGTGATGCAGCGGCGAATGAGGTCTCTGATGTTGTTGTGCTTGTCCGTCTGGAAGTACACAGTGGCACTGGACTTCTCCTTCAGGTAGGGCTTCTGGGCCGAGGCCCAGCTGTGCAACAGGGTCGGCTCGCTGCCCTCGGAGGCCACAGGGAAGTAGGTACCGGACTGCAGGGAGCAGGAGTCGAGTCCCATGGGACCTGCCTCTGCCCCTCCTGGAGGCTCCGGGGCACAAGGGAGCTGCTTGGCCTGGGCCTGGATGTACTGGGCCTCCACCGAGGACAAGAAGTCTACCTCGCCTTCCTGGTCGAGTGCCTGCCAGTAGGCCTCGGGACCCCCATCCAGGAGAGCGTCTGTGGCCAGCCGGGCACTCTCATTGTCGCTGAAGTCAGCCCTGGCCGGCCGGACCCACTGGCTCTTGACATCTTCCAGGCGTTTCCAGATCTTGCCCACGTGCCTTGACCTGCTCATGCTGCTCTGCCCCCGAGCCATGGTGGGGAGCGCGGTGCCCGAGCCCTTCCTGATGTCAGGGCAAGTGAGCCACGGCGGGCGCGGGGATGGGGAGCACCCAGCGTCCACCTGCCAGCCCTCACACCCGCTCTGAGGAAGTGATTTGCCGCTGTCCTGAGTAACACTTCACAGGGAACATCCTCACAGCCAGGCCTTGGCTTATCTCCGGGCGACACCGCCCTGCCCGCGGGCCGCGGGGCCGGCTCAGTCACGCCCTGGCACACTCAGCCCTGGGAGCCGGCCTCTCCTCCCAGCAGCTGGCCTCCGCTCGTTGCACAACGCTCCAGGCCCCTGGCTGCTGGTGCGGAGCGGGGAGGCTCTCCCAGCACCCCTGGGCCTCGGCCCCTCCTGTGCCCGCAGTTCAGATGCCATCGGTTCAAGATGAGAAGTCCCCCGTGTGGGCAAGATGCTGCCCCAGAGACTGCACGCGCGTGGGGAGGGAGGCTGGACGCAGGCCACCGGCACTGTCCACCAGTGACACCCCAGTTCCCGGCCCCCGGTCCTCTGAAAAAGCTTTTCTCTGCTCTCTCTCTCCCCTATGGTGTCTGTCAAAGTCATGTTTGAACAGATCGCCCAGAGAAGCTGCGGTCTGGGGGCCAGCACTGACCCACCGCTGCGCGACCCACTTGGAGTACCGCCTGGAGAGGAATCTGTGGCTGAGTCCAGGCCGATGGGACCTGCGAGCTGGGGCGCCAGGTGCAGCAGGCACTTGAAGTGTAGGAACAGCTAAGGGAGAAGCCACATTTTCTTTCCAGGTCAGGTCATGGTCAAGTCCATGTCGATGGAATGCAATGTCTGTCTTTGGTTTCTGCCAGAAACAGCCTGAGACAGGATTTGAGTTCAAGTATGAGGGAGCTGCCATGGGGCAATTTAGTGAGCAGGTTACTGTCGGGCACACCTGTCATTCATGAACTTGAGGGACCATCTGGGGTCAGTCCTGCCAGGCCCCCTGGGAGATGGTATCAATATATTTTAAAGTTTTCCTACCCAAAGCATGAGAATTTTTCTACCAAACTCCATTTGTCATTGGCGGGGGGCTGCTCCTGGGCCCACAGGAATCCCCACGTGGCCAGCCTGCCCTGTGCTCTGCAGGCACAGCCCTGACCTGTGGTCAGGCTCTCAGGTTCTCGGTCAGAGATTGACGGGCGTGGTGAGTGCTAAGGGACCCAAGTAGGAAGGACCCTGACAATGTCTGCTCAGGGAACTAGAAGACCACACAGCTGGCAGATAGGAAGAGCCAGAAGCCTGTCTGTGGCTTATCTATTCTTTGGAGGAAAATTGCTGTCAGCCTCTGTAACCCACCGAAGCTGTGGCCCAAATGGCTCAGTCCAATAGGAGAATAGTATTTTTATTTTAATGTTTATTTATTGGTGAGAGATGTAGAGAGACAGAGCATGAGCAGAGGAGGGGCAGAGACAGAGGGAAACACCGAATCTGAAGCAGGCTCCAGGCTCTGAACTGTCAGCACAGAGCCCGATGTAGGGCTCAAACGCATGAACTGCGAGATCATGACCTGAGGCTGCAGTGCGATGCGTAACTAACTGAGCCACCCAGGCGCCCCAGGAGAATAGTATTTTTAAAAGCACAGTCCAGGGGGGCCTGGTGGATCAGTCGGTTAAGTGTCCGACTTTGGCTCAGGTTATGATCTCACAGTTCATGAGTTTGAACCCCACATCAGGCTCGCTGCTGTCAGCACAGAGCCTGCTTTGGATCCTCTGTCCCCGTCTCTCTCTGCCCCTCTCCCACTTGCACTCTCTCAAAACTAAAATAAAGCATTAAAAAATATATAAAAGCACAGTCCAAAGAAGAGAAAAAGAAATTTCCTCTCTTCTTTTGAAGGTCCCTGTTGAAGAAAGTCCAATTGATGCCCTCAGGCAACCCTCCCTTTATGAGATTTGATCTCTTCCCCCTTAATCTCTGGAAGCTTGAGGACAACAACCCTAACAAACTCCCCCAATGGCCGTTGGCTCCATGCCCTCCTCCCTCTCCGTTTGGCCAGCTCTCGCTTGTGCAGATGGACTTCACCTCCTTCCCACATTGTCCTCTGAGCGTGCCTCCTCTCTGGCCCTCCCCAGTCCCTTCTCCCGTTGCCTGTTTCCAGTGAGACATGTCCTATGGTGGGACCAACCTGGGGAGGGAAGTCATAATCCCCGGGATTTGTTCTGGTTCCCGCCAGGGCTCAAAAGTTGTCCACAGCTCTCCATTGCCCGCCATGTTAAGTACATTCCTGAGCCTCACGTTTGAGATCCTGTATGTTTGAGACCCGTGTGGACATTCCACTCCTACTTGGCCATAATTGAGTGCTCACTGCATGCTGGCCATCTGTGCTGAGGGAGACACAGATTACTGGGCTTCATTACACAGACGAGGAAACTAAGGCTCAGAGAGGTTTAGTAACTTGTCCAAGATCACATAGCAAGTGAGTGGAACAGCCTGGGCACTGTCATCCTGAAGCTCATGCATTTTCCACTCTGCTGAGCTTCACCCTTTCCATTCCCCTCCCCTTTCACTTTCTACCCTCAGAACAATCCTTGTCCCTTATAAGTTCCAGAATGTATGCAGAGAAGAATGGAAGAAGTGGGTGGATGTGATGGGGTTCTCTTCTCACCCAGGCCCAGTTCTCTTTGTTAGATTAATCAATGACTGAGGGACCCTTGAAGCAGCGGCAGGTCTCCAGGGCCTATAAGGACTGTTTTTTTTAAATGTTTATTTATTTTTGAGAGAGAGAGGGGAGGCAGCAGAGAGAGAAAGAGAGAGAGAGAGAATCCAAAGCCCAATGTGGGGCTTGAACTCATGAACCATGAGATCATGACCTGAGCTGAAGTGGGACACCTAACTGACTGAGCCACCCAGGTGCCCCAGAAGACTTTTTTTACCTTTTTACCTGTGCATTTGCAGAGCAGCTATCATTTAAAAAAAAAAAAAAATCCCAGTGGAACTATCACCTCTAGAGCTGCTGGAAGAAGAACCCTGCTTCTCCTTTTCTCAGCTCCTTGTCCTCACAAAGACCCCAGAGACTGTACTTAAATCCTTCAGAATAGACACAGATATGTTCTATGTGTGCCTGCCCACCCCATCACCCCATTTCTGTGCCCCTGGCAGACATCACTAGTTGATCATCGAACTCTTTCCCCAGCAACTAGGAACCATCCTTCCCTGGTCCTTAGGGGCTCAGAGAGAAGTCCTCACCTGGAGGGCTTTTAGATGTACTGCCAGCCCTCCATTTGATGATGAGAAAACAGAAGCCCAGAAAGGGGAAGTCACGTGGCTGGCCAGTGACCGTCATCGGTGCTGTCCTGGCCTCCTCTCCTCCTCAGCCCCAGCCCTGTGGAACATTACCATTCTTTCTGGGTCCGCTGGCTGAAATAACAAATTACCCCACCTGGGATTGCACTTCTGGACCAGGAAGTCTGTCCAGCTAATGAAGATATGTCAAGAAATCTTATCAAAGACCTCTGAGCTCCAGGCACTCTGGGCTGCAGAGGACTTACCTCCTTCCTTCCTGGGACCTGAAGAGTAGTCTCTCCTGCTCTGAAGACACCCACAAGGAGGGGACAAATAAGGAGCAGGCTCCTAACAGGAGCAATGAATGAAATGAATGGTAGTGGGGCTTCCAGAGGGTTCCATTTCTCCAGGGCACTGGGTCTCAGTAGGGGGCAGTTTGGGTTCTTCAGATGCTCATCTGGCAATGTCTGGAGACATTTTCGGCTGTCACAGCTAAGTGGGTGACGCTGTCGGCATCAGGTGGGTGTGAGCAAGGGCCTCTGCTGTGTCCTACAGTGCACAGGACAGCCCCCACGACAAAGAACTAATGGGCCCCAAATATCAGCAGTGCTGAGACTGAGGAACCTGGTCTGGGGCCCAGACCGGTATGAGCAAGGAGAGTGTGCTGAGTGGATGGCTGACCCTCGCCCCTGTGGGAGGTCCGGTGGCCTGCATCTGTTCAGCCTGTCCCCTCAGCTGCAAGTCCTGGCCTCTGCCAGAGCTCACTCAGAGCTTTCTCAGCGTTCAAGATCTGTCTCAATTGCCACCTGTGACAGAGAACTTCCCTAACAAACCCCCAGCTTCTGTATTCATTCCTGCTCTGAGCCCACCAGGTGGTTGTAGAACTTGCCTTGGTCAGTCTGGTGCTGTAGGTGTGCCTCATCTTCCTCACTGCACTGGAAGAAACTTCCATGCTTTCAGAACAGGCACAATGGGGCCCCGATGATAATGTGACCTTGGGTAGGTAACTTAGAGGATGTCACTGAACTTCTCTTTTCTGTGCATATACTAACAGCTAACATTCATGGGGATGTCCTGGGTACCATTCTAAGTGCTTTACATGTGTTAACTCACTGGATCCTCATAGCAACCCTAAGAAGACATGCTATTACCACTTCTGTTTCATGGATGAAGGAAACTCAAGCAGAGAGGTTACCTACCTAACTCGTCCAAGGTCACCTGGCTGGGAAGTGACAGTGCTAGGAGCCACATGTGGGCGGGGTGGTCTGGTCCCGAGTCTACCTGATGGCCATAGCGCCTGCTGCCCCCTTCATGGGGTGAACCTCAAGGTGCATGGGATTTAAAGGGGAGCCCTGTGTAATCCGAGATCAAAACTTGTTCAGCCTCAGACAGCACCAATATCTTTTTTGGAGCTTTGTCCATAGTTGATATAATACTATACATGCAATTTTATATCTTGCCTTCTTTGATAGCTTAACAATACTCAGAAGTATATTTTTCAAATCATTGCTCCCCCCATGTTCCCCCCTCCTTGCTGCCCCGCCCTGCTTCTTGCTGAACGTAGTCCTAAAACCATCGGGTGGGTTCCAGTAAGGAAGGTGACGGTGGTGGAGAGTCCACGGTGGCCCAGAGCAGGTGTCACAGCCCAAGCAGGGGAGGAGGTACAGGTGAGGAGGCGTCCACACACGGAGAGGGGCAGCCTGGAATGGGGTGTCAGCACTTGAGCTACAAGAGGC